CACACACACACACACACACACACACACACGCACACACACACACACACACACGCGCACACACACACACACACACACACGTACACACAAAAACAAACAAACGGAAAAGAAAGTAAACACTAACAAATCGTGTCGCGTGCCACAGCCACGTGGTGCGATCTCGAGCCTTTATCCCCCCCTTCCCCCTCACATTTCCCCCTCCCCCATGCCCCTCTCGCTCCCCATCTCTCTTTCTCTCTCTCACACACAAACGAAACTGAAAAAAAAGGAAAAGAAAAAACAGACTGTGTCACGTGGCCCGCTTTCACCTTCCCCCGCCTGCCACCGACTTTTCCCTAACCCTACCCCCTTCCCCCTGACCCATCTCTCTCTCTCTCTCTCTCTCTCTAGCAAATAGTTATCCTTGTCTTTCATCTTCATCGGTGTCTTCACCCTCATTTCCATCAGTCAGTGTTGTCACGGTGGGGTACTCTCTCTCTCTCTCTCTCTCTCTCTCTCTCTCTCTGGCTCACGTGCGCACCGCAACCCCCCCGAAAAAGCACGACTGTGCCAGACTATTTCGTTGGACTTTCACCAATTCATCAGGAGGTGGAAACTCGACAGTCTGCCCATGATGCATTTGTGTGCGTGCGTGCATGCATGTGCGTGTGTTTGTTCGAGCGGGTGGGCGGGTGTCCGTGTGAGTGCATGTTGTCTCGTTCGCAATACACCGGCTCCGTGCGCCGCCAAAGATATGAGTGGGGGCCAAACCGGAGACAGGCCCGTCCGGAACTGGTTTCTCCTCACACCTGGCACCAGGCCGACGGCCTAGATCATCGTGTGATCTTAAAATCTTAAGATCGCGTGCCGATCTGAACCATCGGGCAAGTAGGACCGAGGACGGCCTGGATCATTTGTGTGATCTTAAAGTCTTAAGATCGGGTGACAATCCTAACCGTTGGGCTAGGACCACCTGACTGCAGATTTCTGACGTTAGCGATTTTTATAAGTGTAGGGATAGCACAAACCAGTTGAAAAGACGTCTTTTCAAGAATCTGACCATGGATGCATGGAAAAAAAAAAAAAAGTTGGGCAACAAACGACAAGGCTACAAGCAAGTAATTCACGGCAGACATGATCTTGGCAATGACGATTTTTTATTTATTTTTATTTTATTTTTTTGCAGATTTCCATTATTCTCATGGGTTGATATTTGACATGTAAACGGATCAGCAAAAGGAAAACAAGGTTGGTTTGTAGCCTCATTTTTAAAGATTCATCAAATTGATCAAATAGTACAAATACAGAACTTTGAAACGTCTCTTCTTTGATTGAAAAAGGAAAACAGAGAACACGCACCGATTTCCGCAGTTTTCCCCCAAATGTCGCCACTAACTGCTTGATCTCTTCTCGTTTACGACTCGTGAATTTCCCACTGACCACAACAACCATACCGCGCAAAATGTCTTGCGTTCCTTTCGAGCTCTGCACTCCTCTGTGCAGAGGACCTCTGTCGTATTCCGACGTATTGCCGTCTGGCATCGTTCTCCCGGAACTACCGACCTCGTTTTCTCCTTGATCCAAATTCCGTTTCCATTTCTCGCCAACTTCACTATGCCGAAGTTGGTCATCCAACAATCGAAAAATTCCAGAGTGCTCTGCGGATCCTCTCTCTGACAAACTGATTGTACTATCCGCCAGCTCACCCTCCTCATCAGCAAGCCCCATCCTCACCCTCACCCCAATCCCAGTCCCAATCCCAGCTGATCTGTCTGCCTCAGCCAGCTGTTGCTGCGAGCGCCAAGGCTTCCCTGATCTGGACACCCCAGCCTCGATCAGTCTACGAAGAAGATCAGCGTTCGCCGGATTACTGAACCAGTTCCGTATAGATAAGGCTCTCACACTTCCAATGCCTGCACAAAGAGACAAACGGACGAGAATAGATCGGTTGCGTTCGAGTGAGGAGCTGCTGGAAGCAAATGGGAGAGACCAGATATGAATGGGCAGCAAATCAAAGCGCAAGATCAGTTGTTGAAGACATGGTTCATGGAGTGAAAAGGATGATAAAAATTCTACAATACGCAAAAGAAGTTTATCGAGAGGAAAGGCAAAGGGAAGGCAAGCTGACAGTCCATCCTCCAGGCATCTGGAGCAATCAATGCAGCTCAGGGGTCCTTCGACCAAACGGAAGGGATCGTGACGGTGTGTCCTTATTGTATGCCTGTCTTGCTGGAAGGAACCTGACTGATGCTTCCCAGAATGGATATGGAGCCAGGGCCATCAGACCTGTTTTCTGTCAAAAAAAAAAAAACAAAAAAAAAACAAGGTTTATGGAGAGGTGTACGCAGGGTATGTCAAGCAGAGCCTTTAAAAATAAGAAAACAGTTTGTGGAGGCAGCAGCAAATCGAGAAGACAAATAGGGAGGTATACGAGCAAGGAATCACAACGGTGATAGTATGAAAAAGAACAGAAAAAGTGTGCGCAAAGAACACCCTGTGTGTCAGTGCATGAGGAAAATTCACGAGAAACTTGGAGAGAAGGAAGAGGAGGAGAAGGTAGAGGAGAAGTGGGACAAGGAGGACGAGGAGGAGGTGGAGCAGAAGCGGGACGAGGAGGACGAGGAGGAGTTGACGATGATGATGATCGCCGTGGCAATGATGATTATAATGTTGGCAGTAGTGGTGTGGTGTCCTGCCTATTCGACAAGTGGGAAATGCACCGCAACTTACAAAAGCAGGCATGTAGCATTTTGAACATTGTTGACAAGTACAGGGGAGGAGGGAGTGGGGTGCTGATAAAATTTGTTGGCTTTCAAGTTTCCTTCCTCCCCAGCCGCAGTATACTTTCATTTAAAAGTGTTGAAATAACGCAATTACTTTGCCACACGCAGGCAATCCCACAGCACAATCTTTCTGGGTCCACAGTTGTCCCATGTACACGCACCAGGAACCCGTTGAAGTTGTTCCAACGACGCCTTCGCCAAATCCTCGATGTCGTGGAACTCTCCCTCAAGGAGACTTGCCGCATCCTTTCCAACCAGAGGAATTCCCAAAGCAGCCACAAGTTTGCCCATGCTTATCTGCTTGCTCTTCTGTTTTTTTTTTTTTTTTTTGTCACATTCGAAACACACACATGGAGACCAGAGGAATGCCCAAGTGAAAAATATAGAAGAAATCACATGAAGAAACATGGGCACGGCTGTGTCTATTTAACTCTATTGTTAGCAATTGTACTGTCAAACAATAAAAGCACACAGAAAAAGGAAAACAAAAGAAAATACTAAAATATAGAAGATCAGTACAGAACAGACCAGAGAGCAGCAGCGCTGGGAACGGAGCGGACTGAATGGAACGGAACAGAACGGATTCCAACCCGATCCGGATTCCAACCCGATCCGGTCAGACCTGGCCCACACCAACCCGGACTGAATGGACCCAATGGATTCCAACCCGATCCGGTCAGACCTGGCCCACACCAACCCAGCCTGAACGAACAAAAACTAAACCAAATCCCTAATCCCTAAACCCTAAGCCAGACCAAACCAAAAAAACTAACACGTCATGACACGACACGACACGACACGGCACGAAACGACACGACACCACAACACACGACACGCGACACGACACGACACGACACGACACGACACGACACGACAAGGCAAGGCAATAAAAGACAAAAGAGCCAAGATGAGTAGATACGGAGAAGAAAAAGAAAACAAGATGAGACATTCAGATGGACGAGCGCGTACACATCGAGTGAAAGGGCAGACCAATGGACAGAGACACCTGCCTCAATGGACTGGATGAGATTTGAAGCTTGCTTCTTGCCAAGGCCATCGACAGCTGCGAGTGTGTCTGCACTCAGACTGTAAAAATCAGCACAGTCCACAACCAGTCCTTCCTTGAGAAGTTTCTGAACCCTCTTTGAGCCGAGCCCATAAAATAACATCTTTGCGAAATGCTCCAGCTTTGGAAAACAAAGAGCATCAAACAAGACAACAGATGATCAATTCGATAAGACCAATCAATGATTCGATTAAACAAAATTATAAAATTTAGTAGTTACAAGTTACAATTTTACACTGTTTACAGTGTTCACGCAATTGAACGAGGACAATTAATTTCCCTCCCCTCCCTTCTCCACTTTTCCCCATCTTGAAATTCTTAGGAGAACGACTCAGGTCGCGCCCACAGGCAAACTGCCAGTGCATTGCCCAGGCAGACTCGAGAATCTAAATTCAGCCAATCCGCAGATTTTGGGTGAACAGCGCTGCCGGACCAAAATGGCTAGCGTTGCCACCCAATAGAAAACAACAAGCAGCAGGCTGGCGTTCTGACAAAGCTTGGCGCGTGCAGGGGCAATCCGCCTCCGCAAAAAAAGAGACTGGTGGTTTAAGGGGTGCTAACTTGCTGAGGTCTTTTCAAATTTCCATGCACAAAGGGGCAGGAACAATTATGATGCCCATGTGATATCTCCGAGATAAGGCCAAAACGACGTCCCAAGGTAGAACTACAATGTCAATGGAAAATTTTCTCTCTCTTTTCTCTCCCTGTTTGTTAAACTTCCTTCCTTCCTTCCTCCCTTCCTTCCTTCTTTATTTATTTATTAAATTGATTTTGAACTTTTGAACTTTGAAGCAAATTTACTGTGTGAAATTCAATTACAAAAGGCATGCAAGTAGAACTACGAAAGAGTCGGAAAGAAGTGATCAACTTCATTAACTCAATTTTCTTTAAGCACGTCTTTTCACAATCGGCATTAGCCGCATTACTGAGCATTCGAACAACTTAGCGGTCGTCAGTACTGAACCTAGTCAGCATATCGGTGGCTGACTGTATGAAGTTATGAAGATGTCAACGAGCGGCAAATAGTTAAACACGACATGCAAATCGAACCAAGAATCAACACAGCATAGTCCAACACTCAATTGAGAATTTGCGCACTACTGCCTTGCCCCGAATAGAACGTATGGTCATTACAGCCGTATTTGGCCCAACTTTCAGTCCAGATGCAGCAAAAATGACCGTACGGCATACATTCTATTTGGGTGAAGAAGGCAGTAACCGTCCATCCGATTGCCTGCATTGTGAAGCCACTAACGAGATCGAAATTAGCAAGCAGTGCAAGCACAATCCGTATAAGCAGAGCCGCTGGCTGCCACCCAATGCAGATAAATCTGCGCAATGACATCATGTAGGCTGCGTAGCATCATGTTTGTGTCCGGAGGCGAACACGAACAAGTTCGCCCGAACGCGAACGAGCGCCTGAAACCCTCCAAACGCGAACATAAAAAAAAAAACCCTCAGAAAAATCTGAAAAAAATACATGTCATGTAAAACAACAATACAAGCAACTTTTGCCATGGAGTCATGTTCAAATTCTTAGCCAAACGTGAGTTAAAAACAAACAAGCAAAAAGGAAATGTTCGCCCGAACACGTTCGTGCAGACGTGGAGGGGAGCGAATTATGTTCGCCCAAACACGTTCCCGAGCCATTCGCGCGAACACAAAGGGGCGCGAATTCCGTTCGCCCAAACACGTTCGTGCGAACGTATAGGGGCGGGAACACGTTCGCCGTGATACGCAGCATGTAGGTAAATCTTGTCTACTGTCCTGTATCCCTTTCCTTTAGCAAGAAGCTACCATCTAAGTCCGTCTTGTAGAAGTAAAATCATACAGTCATTATGGCTGTATCTAGACTGAAAGTTCTGCCAAATGCAGCTACAATGACCGAACATTCTATTCAGGGAAGACGGTAGTCTTTTGTGGTTGTAGGTTCCACAGTTGCTTAGATACATGCTTCACTATTTCTTTCTTTCTTTCTTTCTTTCTTTCTTTCATTCTTTCTTTCTTTCTCTTTCATTCCCTTTTTTTCCTCCCTTGCGAGGGCTACGACTTTGAGATATCATCGCGTAACTGACCAGACCCAGGTAATTGAGAATTGTTTCATTCTATTCATCAGTTGCATCATCTGAATTCGAACTCATGTCTGTATTTCAACAGTTCGTGGGTGTACCAATGGAGCCAGGCCCGTCGGTATTTCTCTCTCATTTCTGCTTCTCTTTTAATTGCTATACCACTTGGGACCAACCGTTTCCACCTCTGTCTCTTCAACACAACTTGGGACTAGCCATATTTGTGCACCATCTGTAAGGAGGGTCCATTCTCATCTTCACTGCAACTTTCCAATTCCAGAAAGATGCCCTGCACGATAATCAAATCTGTCATGCTAAAAAAAGAAGACCAAAAAAAAAAAACAATCCAAAGAAAGGGAAAAAAAAAAAACGCCATACTCAGGTACGTACTACATACTTGCCGATTCTGGCGTGCCGGACAATGAACATTATTGCATACTGTTTGTGGTTCTCTTTCAGAGATGAGTGACAGAGGGCCGCTGCAACCTGGGCACTGCGTAGGTGGTTTCCAGGCAGTGGCATGCTCACTGCGAAGATCCGGGAGCGCACTAACCACCTGTCACAACAATCACATCACACACATGATGCGAGCACCCCATCAAAAACCCTCATTTGGGGCACAGGTAAGTTCTCAGTACCATCAAAAGATTCAAAACCTCCATTCGGGATAGAAACCTGACAATCCCCGGAGCCCTTCTCCCGCACATAACCGTCTCCCTAGTCCTGGCCATCACCCTGCCTGACAAACAGGCCTGTCCAAGCCCCAGAGAGGAAAGGAAAGGAAAGGAAAGAGGAAGTAGGCCAAGAAGAAGAATAGCGGGAGGAGAGTAGGAAACAGCGTGTTTGGGGCAGATGTGACAGAGAATACGTGCAGAAAACCACCAGCTGCATGTGCACACACTGACTCGCACAAATACCAGAACAACAATAACAGCTATCACACACTCCTCTTGAGGAACGGGTAGCATCATGAGAGAAGTGTGGAGAAGGTGAGGAGAGAGGGATGAGAGAGAGGAGAGAGGGAGGAGAGGGGGAGGAGAGGATAAGGGGAGTGGGTGGGTGAAGAGAGGGTAAAAACTTACTAAAAAGGTGTGCAGAAGATGCAGACGAGCGGATCCACCACCTAGAGCAACGATAACAGCTATTGTGTCCTCCTTTTGTAGAACGCATAACATCATGACAGAAGGAGAGGGTGACGAGAACGATGTGAGGAGAGAGCGAGGACAGCACAGGAGGAGGAGAAGGAGGACAGTGGGTAAGGGGTGCAGAAGATAAAGACCGCCGAGTAAGGTAAAAAGGGGTGCAGAAGATGACGACCGCCTCAAGCACCCCTTTTGGAAGGGAAGGAAGACCAGACAAATGTGAGATGAGGAATAAGGAATCCATCCACGTCCTTACTCCCTGCGCCACCAGAAAGATAACAACCGCTTTCCTCCCCTCCTCTTCGGAAACGCACAAAACACCAGAGAAGGGCGAGGAGAAGGTGAGAAGACTATGAGGGGAAGCTAAGGTCAGAATGCTGTTGTGTGCCCTCCCTTCTTAACAGGGCGCACCATACCTGAGAACTGTGAGGAGAAGGAGAGAAGAGGGTACGGAGAAGGTGAGAAGAGTGTGAGGATGATGTGAGAAGAGTATGAGGAGAGGATGAAGAGAAGGCCAGCAAAAGCATTACATATGTTGTGTACCCTCCTCTTCACAAAGCCAGAACACAACAGAGAAAAATGAGGAGACGAGGGTGAAGAGAAGGTGAAAAAGTACGAGGAGAGGGAAAAGCAATTTAAAGCATTACATATGCTATTTATTGTTACCTGTGGAATGACATCACCAGCACGGCGCAGAACAACGCGATCTCCAATGCAGAGTCCCAGTTTCTCTACAAACCTTCAGAGCCACATCAAAATCGAAAATACAGATCACAGACATACAGATGAACATCATCAGAAACCGGAAAGGGTCGACGCCCAGGTCCTACACCCATGCGCATCCACCATACCTCAGGGAATATTAGCACTAAACCAGGGTTGCATACCTGCCGACCGCCGACCGTATTGCAGCTGACCAGTAGGGCCATCCGGTCGGCGGTCGGCTGACCTGTCAGAAAACAACGATCCACTGATTTTTTTCGAATCTAAGTTTGGGGCTGTACTGCGCTTGCTGAGTACAGCCCAAATCCGCTGAGAAACTTTTGGGGATGGGGGGGTTGGAGGGGGAGTATAGGGGGCTTATAGGGGGGTATAGGGGGTTATAGGGAGTATTGGGAGGGGGTGGGTTGCGGAGTGCCGACGATCCCCTACTGGTAGGTGCCAACCAGCCGACTAGTCAAGGGCCGCCAACCGTCGGGGTATGCAACACTGCACTAAAGGAGTTTACGGGGTGTAGGAGGGGGAGTATAGGGGGCTTAAAGGTTTTATAGGGGGTTATAGGGATGGTATAGGGGGTATTGGGAGGGGGTGGGTTGCGGAGTGCCGACGATCCCCTACTGGTACGTGCCAACCAGCCGACTAGTCAAGGGCCGCCAACCGTTGGGGTATGCAACACTGCACTAAAGGAGTTTACGGGGTGTCCCTGAGAAGAAACAGAGCCAGATTCAAGTTCGAAAAGTCCTAGTGTGACAATGCCCACCCTTGTTCTCTCAATCTCTCCGGTAAGATTTCCAAAAACCAGCAATTCCAGGACATAAGAGCCACACCTAATGCACACGAATAAAATATATAAATGCTTCTATGGAATGGACTCTACATTCTTAAGTCCATCCCTTTCCTACAAAATAACTTCAATGAAAGAAGAAGAAGAAGAAGAAGAAGAAGATGACGAGCGAAGCCAATGGTATGAGAACCATACAACGGTATAGTAATTATATAATAACGCTGTCACTGATCATTCATTAACTTCTGATCAAATATGGGACTCTGTTTGGCTATCTTTACATCCTTCATGTGATTGAGGCAATCTTCAGAGACTTTCTACAAGTCCAAGGAGGCAGCTCCAGTCCTCTGGTACGTCTCCAGAAAATGGAGCGATATGGAGAAGAACCTAATGGCCCCTGCGATACAAGTCCAAGGAGGCAGCTCCAGCCCTCTGGTACGTCTCCAGAAATTTAGAGAGAAGTCTGGCACATATACGGCCATTTAGCCACACTGAGCGTCGTTTAGCCCAGCACCCATTTTCTCCGGCGGCCAAGGCCGCAGCTTGGTTGCCAGACATTTTCGCAGCACCCATTTCATATTTTCTGTGAGTTTGGGTTATTTTTCCAGAGGCCTCAACTGTTCTGGTCTTTGTCTGCATCTGAGTCGGCAACTTGGCACACAATTTTCAAGTTCTGGTCTTTTCTTGCGAGTGCCTGTTTGTGGTATGGCTATCAGGGCCCGAGTTATTTTTGCCCATGCTAGGGCCGAATTTATTTTTCTCTGTAGTGACCGGACAGAGTATCACTTTCGACTACCGTCTTCCCCAAAATAGAACACATATTATGGTCATTATATAGTCTGTGTACGGATCCGGGCCGCCCGGCCGACCAGCACCGGCCCGGGGGAGGTCCCGGGCGGCCTGGCCAGGCGGGCGTCCCGGTTGGGGGCCGGGCCCCCCCAGCACACCTTGCTGGCGGGGGGTTCCCAACCCCGAATCGGCCAGATTATGTCTTCCCAGGGCCTACCGGGTCCGACCACGCCCAGAAAACGGCGCGTCGGGCCCGTGAGGCCTGTTTTTTTTTTTGAATTTGTGACGGCCCTCCGGCCATCGATCATCCATGATTGACGGCCAGAGGGCCGTTTGTTTTTTGGAGGGAAAACCCAGGCCCCGTTTGAACAACGACTGGCTTGGGCGGCCTGCATTGGCTGTCGAAACGGGGCCTCCCTCCAGCTGCCTGCGTTCGTCCTCGACTCGCCCTCGCTCCTCGCGCTGCCCGTTGTCGCCATCGCCTGGGAGCTGCGCTCGCCCGTCATCGTGGAGTCGCCCGTCGCCCGTCGTCGTGGAGTCGCCCGTCGCCCGTCGCCAGCGTCGTGGAGTCGGCCGCCGCTCGTCCCTCTCTCATCTTCTTCTTCTTCTTCTTCCTCTTCTTCTTCTCTCCTCCTCCTCCTCTTCCGACTATCTTTTTTTTCTTCTTTTTTTTTGTTCCATTCATCAGCGATAGGTCGCGAGATAAACGACAGGTAAGGAAAAAAAAAAAAAAAACTGCTCCACTCTTCTTCTTCTTCTTCTTCTTCTTCTTCTTCTTCTTCTTCTTCTCTCCTCCTCCGCCTCCCCCTCATCTTCTTCTCCTTCCTCTTCTCTCCTCCTCCTCCTCTTCTGCCCATTTTCTTCTTCTTCTTCTTCTTGCAGGACCGCCGCTGCAGCCTGCCACCATACCCTACCGCCCTACCGCCGCCGCCATCTTCTTCTTCTTCTTCTTCTTCTTCTTCTTCTTCTTCTTCTTCTTCTTCTCCTTCTTCTTCTTCTTCTCTCCTCCTCCTCCTCCTCCTCATCTTCTTCTCGTTCCTCTTCCCTCCTCGTCCTCCTCTTCCGCCCTTCTTCTTCTTCTTCTTCTTCTTCTTCTTCTTCTTCTTCTTCTTCCTCTCCTCCTCCTCCTCCTCCTCTTCTTCTCGTTCCTCTTCTCTCCTCGTCCTCCTCTTCCGCCCTTCTTCTTCTTCTTCTTATTATTATTCTTATTCTTATTCTTATTCTTATTCTTGTAGGACCGCCGCTGCAGCCCGCCACCATACCCTAACGGCATACCGCGCCGCCATACCCTAACGGCATACCACGCCGCCATTCCCCTCCACCGCCGCCGTAACCCTAGCCGCCCTCCTTCTTCTTCTTCTTCTTCCCCTTCTTCTTCCTCCTCTTCTTCTTCTCTCCTCCTCCTCCTCTTCCGACTACCTTTTTTTTTCTTCTTTTCTTTTGTTCCATTCGTCAGCGATAGGTCGCGAGATAAACGACAGGTAAGAAAAAAAAAAAAAAAAAAACTGCACCGCTCT